TAATTTCATCATTAATAAAAAACTAGTTTCGTCATTTCAGTTTCGTCAATTTCATCATATTAAGAAAGGTAATTTCGTCAGGTATCACTAGGCTAAACATTTAAACCTTTAGTTTTACCATTCTTATAAGCTTTAATATAGTTTTACTTTTTTCTAAATTTCGCAGATTTTTTAATAAAATTTTAATATAATTTAACCAAGTTTTACTTTTACATTTAGATATCTGTCTAAACTCTTGATTTTTTCTAGCAACCTTAACTATACTTTTAATCATTCATAGTAATTTTACTAACTAAATAATAAATTTTATAATAAATTATTACAAATTTTGCTAATGAATTAATGAATTTTATTAATAATTTATTATGAATTTTATATTTAAAGATAAAATATTATTAATTAATAATAATTTTACATATAAAAATTAATATCATTTATTTTATCATATATTAATTTTTTAAATACTATTATTACTAATAATATCAAGTTATAATAAATTGTATATAATTAATCTTTTATTTTAGATAATTAGAATTATTATCATTTTTTTTTTTTAAAAGAATTTTTTTTAATAATATCTAAAGATGGCTTTTCAACCTATTTTCAAAAAAAGTTGCAGTTATAGCCTATATAAAAATATAGAGTTGCAGATTATAGGTTATAATTAGTAAGACTTAGTTACGATGCCATCTTTAATAATATCTAACTTTTTTTTATAGTAATAAATTTCTTTTAATAAGATAAGTAGCTTTTCAAAATTATTTTAAAAGTAGTTTTCAGATTAAAGATGAAGCTGTAATTAACTTTAAAATTTTTAATTAGTTGCAACTTTTTATAAATTTTTATATTAAAATAAATTTTGCAAGGAGTTGCAACTTACTGAGTTGCAACTTTTTAATTACAGTATCATTTTTATTTCAGATTATTACTAATGATTTCTTTTTTTTTTTATAATAATAAACCTTTTTTTTTTTAGATAAGGTAAATGACTTTTCAAAGATAGTTTTTCAAATTTTTATTAATGTTTTCTTTTTTTTTATAATAATAGTGATAGGTTTTTTTTATGAATAAGATAGATAGCTTTTTAAAATATTTTTTAAGTTTTTTACTATATTTCTATTTTAAAATAACAAACTTTTTTTTTTAAATAAAATAAATAGCTTTTTGAATTCTTTTAAAAGTATTTTTCAGTTTTTATTAATATTTTCTTATTTTTTTTATAGTAATAAACTTTTTTAAATATTAGTAAATCTGTAATAAGTTATATTAAATCAAAAATAATAAATATAATTTTATAAATTAATTAAAATTATTTAAACTATACTAAATTAATATAAATATATAAATTAGAATAATTTATATTAACAAAAATTTGTTTATTATAATTAATTAGGATTAGTTATTAATATAAAATAAATAATTTAATTTTACTGAATTTAATAAAATATTATTAATTATTACGCTTTATTCTAGACTAATAAATTTTAATTAATATATTTATAAATAAATATTTTAATACTAATAAATAATTTAATAATTTTTAAATAAAATAAAAGTAAAATCAAAATTTCTATATAAATATAAAAAGATTTAAAATATTTTACTATTTTTCATTATTTATTTTCTATATAAATTATATAAATTATAAGTTATATTTATATTTGATAAAAGATTTTGATTATATTATAATTTATATAATTTATTTATAACTATATAAAGGATTTTTTATAAATTTATTATAATATTAAAACTAAATTTAATATGATTATACTAATAATTAAGACAGAAAAATATTTATTATAAAATTATTTTAAAAATTAAAAGTTTGTAAAAAGTTTTATATTAAAAATTTTATTATATATTTATATCTAATCTTATTAAATTTATATTAACCATATTTAATAAAATAAAATTTATTATTACAATTTTTATAATTTATTAAAAATTAAGAATTTTATAATTTTAATAGTAATATAATAATTCAATTAATATTTAATTTATGAATTTTTAAAAACATTAAATTTTTTAATTTTATAAATAGATTTTAATAAACTTAAATATTTATTAATAAAGGTAAAAAAATATAAATTGAATAATATTTTTATATAATATTTAAATTCAATTTATACTTTATTAAAAAATTTTAAATTTATAAGAAAATTTACTTATTTAATAATTTAAAAATACATTTATTTAAAATATTATATTATATAAAATGTTTACTAAAAGATACTATATATTGTTACCTAAAAATGGATCTTTTATTTTAGTTAAAAAGTTAAGTTATTATGTTACAAACTTCAAATTGATTAATAAAATATTTTTGATCACTGCTGTTATTCATCATCAAAGATCATAAATTAATTATGATCTTTCAAACTGAATTACATAATGTTTTATTTAAATATAAAGACTTAATGAACTATTATAGATGTTATATACAAGTGATTACATAAATATTATAAGAAAATAAATAAAAGAATAATTTATTAAGCATAAAAGAAAGTAATTTATTAAAATATTATAATGTTATATGTGATTATATAATCATCATTGCTAATATTTCATATTATATTTTTTTTTAAAATTAACTACTCCAAAAAAACTGACTTCTTATCAAATAATTCTAAATGTTATATATTTTGAATTGATCTAAAACTACAGATATATATAAAATTATCTTTAAATATCTAATTATTGCACAATTATTACTACATATTTTTATTACATAATTACTATATTATAACTATGCAAGAATTATTAATACTTTATAATTACTACAATTGCTTCTAATTTTTAGATGTGATTTATTGCATTAATTTTATTGATATTACAATCTATGATTACATTTTCATTATAAGATCACTTACTGCGATTTTTTGATAATGAATATATAAGGTCTTTGCAATAGAAAGGAAGTAAATTGCTAAAAAAATAAAAATGAGTTAATGATAAATTTGAATATATTTTAACCTAAAAATCATACTTTGTATATAAAAATAAAATTGATTTTTTCTAGCAATATTCTCTTTTTCTTTTGTAAAAGCTTCATATAGTCATACTTTTTATATCACACCTCTGATTATATAATTTGCTATGCCTCATTTTTATTTGAGTAACAATATAATAGAGATTAATTAATTTATTCTTAAGTAATATTATCTATAAATTTGATATATTTATTTTTAATATAAAAAACTTTAATAAAGTTTAAAGTAATAATAATATTATTTAAATCAAATTATATAAATTGAACTTCTAAATGATTAGTTAATAAAACAATCAAATTATAATTAAAACAATTTATTAGTTTTATAATTTGACTTAATTGAATATATTTTAATAATAATATTTTCTTTTTTTACTTAAAATTTTATCATAGTTGGTTTGTCTTTTAAAATTATATGATTTGATAAGTTGTAATTACCTTACACAGATAAAAGCAGTAATTATTAAAATTTTTTGTTAAAAACAGTCACATTTGTGATCAGAAGTGGTGACAAACAGGACAAACTCATTACATTTTTTCAATTAATACAATCTTTGAATTGAACTAATATAAATGTAATAAAGTATAACAATTTTAAATAATAATATATTTATAAATTTATTATTAATTTATTAATTTAAGTAATTTATAGTAAAAAGAGAGAAAATTATTGAGTTAATATTATATTTTATTTTAAAAATATATTTAATATATAAAGTAAAAATCATTTTTTTTTAAAATAATTTCAAAACGTATTCAACTTATATAATCGTTAAAAACTAAAATAATATATTGAATTATAAATTAATTATAAGATAAAATAATATTTTATTTAAACTTAAAATTAAATTATTTTTTTTAAATAAATTAAATAAATTACATTGCAGTCTAGGTTAAATTGGTTAATTTAATATTACACGATATATATTTAATTCTATTATACATGGGGGGATGTATGAATACTATGTGAGATAATATTATTTTTAGTAAAACGAAACACAGTAGGGGGTGATGCAGATGATATCTTTTCTTATTGAAAGTAAAAAATTATGAGTTTGATATTCAACCGTTAATAAATCATATGCTATGCTCACATGATTGATGATAAGTTTATCGCTTGTGATTGTTACTTATCAAATAATAATTCAACTAACTATTAAATAAAAGAAATAAATAAAGACTATTTCGAATTAATACTGAACCAAGTTGTCAAGTGCCATCAGGTGCCATTAACACAATGTTTCGAAAGGCAGATACATGGTAACAACCGCAAATTTCATTGTTAAATTTGGAGATGAATTTTAAATGCGTTGACAAAAAAACTCCGAGATTTTCCGACTCTTTTCGAAATAAGAAGAAAAAAAAGAATTACTTGTATAGGACAAGTAATTAGATCTTAAATCATCACCGCGGGAAAATATAATTGTAACAATTGTCTCATTTAGTTGTACATAGTTGTACATCACAAACAGAATTTATATTGACTATTGTAAATGAATTTAATTTACTAACAAGTTAAAAAAGATGTCATGAACTAAAAACACTATCCTCATATCATCCCTACTATGTTTAATCTATGGCGTCGTTGTATAAATACATAAACTTCTCGACTTTCTCGACTTTCTTTTCCTCTCAAGTTTCGAAAAAACCCTTCGTCAGATTTTTTATTTTATTTTTTCCCCTACTTGCCGGGTAGTTGGTTATTTTGTTTAAACTTATTTGGTTTAAACTATAAAATAGCTAAACTTTAAAAAGACATTAGTTGAAGACTGCTTTTCCAACAAAATGACTTCTCCAGTGAGAAATAGTAATAATTCTTCGCCTAAACTTCATGACTCTCCTTTACCTGTTCAATCAACAGATAATCTTATTTCAACCCCCACTTCACCTAGCCCACCAACTTTACTGTATCATGATCCAAACTCTCAACGAAGTGCGGAGTCTGATCAAAGTGGTTCACGCGTAGACTTTAGAGGTGGCGATGAAGAACAAGTGCAAAGTGAAGAAACACCTTTACTAAGGCAAAGGTATTCTTCTCCTATGTTTATGCCAACTTCACCAATTGATCTTTCTAGAAGGCAAAATTCTGCCTCTCCTTCCAGAAAACAACTTCCAAGACAAAATAATAGTCCACAATCACCACTACTACCTTACTCGCATAATGCAACTACTAATTCTCGTCAAGAATATGTGAATTTGAATAATAACGTCAACAACTCTGATTCTATTTTTGAGACAATTTCAAACTCAAACAACTCATATGATGAGACTGATTCGGATGGTGGCACAAATACTTTGATTTCATCGCGTCGTCCTTCTAAAATACAGACAGACGTATGCTTTCCTATGCTGGAAGCTATTTCCAAGAAAGGAGTGGATTATGATGCTCTTGAAATCTATGTCAAAAACGAAAATGAAAAAAGAAGAAAAGAACAAAGAAGACGTCAAAGAAGGTTAAGTGAACCTGCTTCCGCTTTTGTTAAAAAAAATTCGAATTATAACTTTTACGCTAGTTTAGAGAACAAGGTATATCACTAGATCGTTTTATTGATAATGCACGTTTCTATGAAATTAAAGTTATGAGACTTAGCAAATCGTATGCTCGTAATGTGGTTTTCCTAGTAATGACAATATTCATCCATTAAACTAATCAATTTAAATTTATCAGCACCCATCAGAGGCTTCATATAGATTCACATTTTATTCGACAGCTTATAGTACAGTACATGCTCGATCATTAGCCGAGATTCCATCCACAGGAACTTCGCTCTCCGAAATGTTGAAAGCTGGATGTTGGTGGATCGATATCTTATCGCCATCAGATTCAGAAATTCAAGAGTTGGGTAGGGTATGTGTCGCAATTCAGAATACCGTATATTTTCATTGTAACCATTATTTTAATACTTTTCATTTATAGATCTTTGGAATTCATCCTCTTACGATGGAAGATATTCAAACAGAGGATACTCGCGAAAAGTGTGAATTATTTAAAGAATATTATTTCATTTGCTTTCGGTCTTTTGATCAGGACCATTATTCCTCTACATATCTACAACCTGTAAGTCTTTACATGGTTGTTATGAAAGAGGGCATTATATCAGTAAGCGTAATTTTGAAATAATGTTAATTTTTTTACATTTGATCGAAAATTAATCTCCTGTATCACTTTTACTATTATAAGTATCATTTTCGTCCAACGCCACATCCATCAAATGTGAGACGACGCATACAACAATTAAAAGATTACATAAATGTGACACCGGGTAATTTGTAAATTTATAATAATAATAATCCAACTTTAAATCATCAATTAATAAAAAAATGTTAATCGATTATCCAGATTGGATCAACTATGCAATTATTGATGATATCACCGATTCATTCGCGCCATTAATACGATCGATCGAATTTGAAGTTGATTCAATTGATGAGTTAGTTTTGATCCTAAAAGAATCAGAACAAAGCGACATGTTACGACGGATTGGCCATTGTCGTAAGAAGGTTTTGGGATTATTAAGATTACTAGGAAGCAAAGCTGATGTTATGAAAGGCTTGATTAAGAGATGTAATGAATTGAGATGGGACGTAATTGTTAGTAGCGAAATTGTGTTATATCTTGGAGATATTCAAGGTATATTGGGCACGTGATTTCTTTTGTCTCATTGTTAAAGATGAATGAATTAATTAATTAATTATTGATGTTTAGATCATATAATAACAATGGTTCAAAATTTGAATCATTATGAAAAAATATTATCAAGATCACACTCAAATTACCTAGCACAAATATCCATTGAGATGACACAGGCAAACAATCAAATTAATGATATATTATCTCGTCTTACTGCACTAGGAACCATTCTTGTGCCCATGAATCTTGTAACAGGTAAGGATAATATACCTTCTTTTAGATTTTACTAGCAAATAGATGTCTTATTCGTATAATGCTATTTATTTTAGGTTTATGGGGCATGAATGTTCCTGTTCCCGGTCAAGAATCAGATGGGCTGACATGGTTTTTTTCTATATTATTATCTTTAATAATATTTGCCGTTGTTGGGGTTTTGGTGGCACATCGAACAGGAATAGTATGATATAAGATTCATCTAATTCCATTGAGTAAAGTTAAATAATAATTTATTAATAATAATTTATAATTGAATAAGAATGCAGAATTTGGAACGAATATTCCAAAAATAAAAATAAAAACTGTGAACTTTATAGATTATCTTGTTAGATTTGTATTCTTTAAATCCATTTACTAATGTATGTGGAATTTAGTAAAAAAAGATGAAAAGTTTTTTTTTTTGGTATTTATAATTTGCGAATATTAAATCATGCAATAATGAACATATCAGTACTTTATTTTGTTTTGTTTATCTTAATTTAACATAATTTATTACACGTTTATTCAATTGTTAATTGTATTGGTCAAAATTTACAATGAACAATGTAGTTTGATTGATCTATAATCTTATCAACTGATTGAAAACGATCTGATTAAAAAAACCTTCATGTTTAGAATAAGGTTTCCAAAACTTTCTCAAGCCTATTTTAAGTGTGAATATTATCATTTGAAAATTACCTTTATTTGGTTTAATCTATTTTATTAAAGTACAATTTTTTAAAAAAGTTATTTATTGGGCAATTTGGTGCATTTAATTTATTACAACAGAATTTCGTCATAACTTGTGAGTATGTTGAAATTTTTTTTATTAAATTTATTATTTATTTATTATCATAGAAAGAAAAATAATAAATTCAGTGTATCGAATCCGATCAGGAAAAATATAGCCAGTGTTTTTTTTATTTTATATTTTTTTATATTACTATTAAATGAAGATTATCAAAACAACTTGCTCTTTTTTGGACATATCTACTCGTCCGGATTAGGAAAATATATATTAACATATTTTTTCTACCCGTTATTCTTGAAGAATTCTTGAAATGATTTTTTAGATGAATTCTTATATTTAACGTTATATTTGATATTCATATGATTTTCCAAATAATATTACTGTTGGATTTAATAATATAATTAAATAAGTATTCTAAAATTATGATCTTTTACTATATTCATAAATTAATAATAATTACATAATTAAAGAATCATTGCATTTTTAGAATTAATAATAAGAATTCTAATAAGATAACTTTTAAATCAAAGCTATTATTTCATCAAATGAAATTTTTTTTTTTTTATTTATAATTAATTACTTTTCAGTTTAACATTACCTTTATTAAACTCTTAAAATTAGATTATAATATTACTTCTATTATGAAATTAAATATTATTATTTTATTACTTAAATTATTAAAATATTGTATTAACAGATTTATGTTTAAAATTTAAGATAAAATGGGGCATACCGCAACAAAACCAGACAAAGTGAACATTGGTATTACCAAAGATTTCAGGGATCAAATGAAAAAATTATTGATCACTAAAAATAGATTGTTTACATTCCAAGAAAATTCTTTCACTTTAATGATGTCAATATTGTAAAAATTTCTAAATAAGGGAATAATTATTAAATCCTTTGGATTTATTACTTAATTAAGTAATTTAATTATTCTGGCCAGGGTGGTGGAAAGTAAAGCATCGAGTATGATGATAGAGAAATATCATGGAGTGAAAGCAATATTATTGATAATAGTAATAGTGGAAGTTGAATTTTTTGTCAGAGTGCCTAGAGAATGGGTAATGCTCACAGTGGCTTTGGGTTCGAGTATTTTCCTCCCATGCACGTACTCTGACAATTATTTAACTTGTATTTTTATGTATTATTCTATTATTAGCGTTAGTTGAATTAAAATTTTTTTTTGTCATAAATAAATTCCAAGTCATGTGCCCACTAATTTATCATTGGTCGATGTATAAATTATAACAATTACGATCTACTAAATCAATAAAAAAAAAAACTTTTAAAAAATTAATTTTACAATACTTTCTTTAATTTCAAAAAACAAATGGCAACAAAAGAAGAAATTGACAAAGAATTGAAAGATGCAAAAGAAGAGCATAGAAAGGCGGGAGAGAGGTTGGACGAATTTATGAAGGAGGAGAATTTAGAGAAGTTTGAGAAAAGGTGGGGAGTAGAGGAATTGAGGAAAGAAAAAGCGAGGTTGGAGGAAGAGAAGAAGAAGTCAAGGGAGAGGAGAGATAAATGGGACGAGTTACTACAAAAAAAATTAGATGAAGGAGCAGGTAATGAACAAATTGCATAAAAAAAAATATATATATATTTTTCGTTCATTCCATTTTGTTTATTTATTTGGTATATTGTTTATAACACTGACTAACTTATGCTTTTTTTTCTTCAATACTTTGGACTTAAATTCATTTCAAAATCACATCATGTTCATTAATAACATTTTAACTTATCATTGATTTACAAGCCCATGATGACGGTAATTTTTTCATCAATAGTCACATATATTTGAACTTATGCATCTAATCAGATATTTTTTTCAACACAGAATACTTTTTTACTTTGGATATGTTAAAAAAAGAACCTGAATTTATTCCAAGTCCTGATAGTTTAAAGAATTGGCTCCAACAACCACCTGATAGCCCAATTAAAGTTCCACCAGCAATATATGATTCTTGCTTTCGCTCAAAAGTTAATACAAATTTTCTGAACAAAATCTTTGTCAGTACTCCTAATGCTTCTATAAAACTATGGATTGAATTTATCAATGGCATTGTTACCTTACTTCAACCAAGTTTCACTGAAGATTCATATCATCCACTTTGGCAACAAGCCATATATATCCCCATTAAACTTGGATGTCCAGATGGAGCTTACAATCGAAATTCATCTTATAATACATCAACAAGACAACTTCGTCCTGATTTTTCCTTTTTGGTATCAAATGCTTGTCTATTTAGGGGTGAAGAAAAAGCACCCAGTAATGCAGAGGATCCTGCAAATGAACTCACTTCTAAATTAATATGGATATATGGAGAGTGTCCATATATCTTTGGCTATTATGCAGTTGGGTTCATGGTTACATTTTGTTATTTGCAGAAAGGTAGAGATTCAATTGAACGAATAGACCTCAAAACATGTAATTTAGAAAAACTGGATGGACGAATTGAAGCATTCCTTATTGGAAGAAATATTGGGCGTTTATTGCCTCTACTTCGAAAAACTATTCCAGACTCCCTTCAAGAATTCACCATCATTCATCGGGATAATGGTAAAATAGTTGAATTAATGCAGAATGTAGTTATAAAGCGTTATAAATCAGCAGAATTAGTGGGACATATTGTGAACTTGTATGATAAAATGAAATCTCATCATATTCCTTTTATTGATTCTTTGATTAAAGTTAAAATTGAAGAACAATCAGTCCCATTTGTTATTCTATCACCCAAAGGTATACATTATAAACCACAATCAGAGAAACAACTAGTTATGGCATTGCATTGTGTATTGACTGCAGTTGAGGTATTTTTTTTTTGTTTAATACTTTATTATCTTAGAAGCACAATATTTTTTAAGTAAATTTTTATTTATTTTAAGGCATTTCATGAATTGAATATCATGCATAGAGATATTCGCTGGGAGAATCTAATGAAGTATACTGATAAGGACAGATGGTTTATAATTGACTTTGATGAGGCATGTGATTCTCCTTCAAGTGTTCCTTATATGCAACTAGATAGGAGAAGCCATGCACCTGAAATTTTTAGTGGGAATCATGACAAAAGTGTTGATATTTGGTCTATTGGACACCTGATATTAGAAACTTCTATAAAATCAGAACTATTAACTGAATATGCAGAAAGAAGTTTGATGTTAAAGGATTCTAAAAAGAGATCAACAGCTAAAGAGGCTTTAGAATGGTTATGTAACAGATATAAAGATATTCTGCAAACAGAATTTTTGATTAGCAAATATTAAATGCACACATATAATAACTTTCCTAGTTTTATCAATAAGTTATTATTGTTATAATAGAATTTTGCTTTTTTTTTTTTTCCTTTTGAGAATAGAGAGAAAAACTTGTGAGTTAAAAATTTTTTTTTCAAAAATGCAGTTTACATAAATATATGTAAGTTTCAAAGGAAATTTCACAGTAAACAAAAAATAACCAAGTTAGCATATGACCATTTTTTTTTATTTAAACATATTACTGAATATTCATGATTCTTTGAAATCTCACTTTCCTATTAAGTAAATTTACCAAATAATTTTCTTAATTAACAAATATAGTAACAAAAATTAATTTCCAAATCAAATACTTTGTGTATGTGTTGTATGTGAAATTGAAATTATGTGAAATTCAAATTTATAATTAAATTTTTGGGGTGGGGTATTTGGATATAAAATTCTGATTGGCTAATTTGAATTTCACATATGTGAATTGCAAATTCACATAGATTTCATTTTCACGCATAACATATGTATATGAATTTTGTATAAAAAGATGAGCTTTCCAAACTGATAAAAAGTAACTTGTATTAATAAATTAACATTACTTACTACTTATCTCTTATATTTGATGTAAAGAAAAATAGTTTTCCTTACAATCCATCTTTTCAATTTTAAAAAACTTACAAAGTGAACATAAAATTATATATATAGGGATAAGTGTATATGAAAAGTAATAAATATAATGGTTCTAATGAATATGAAAAGACAATTGATTTTTTAAAAAAGGTTGTAAATATGATTGCTCTTCCAGAATTTCTAAGTAAGAATTTGCAGAATTAAGGGAATCTTTTCAAGCTCTTTCCAAGTCTGAACAAGACATATTTTTAATGGTCCAGATTAAAGTAATGGATGGTGGAACAGTAAGTGCCAGTAGACGCTTTAAAAAGAAAAATAGATCTAACAAAAGAACTTTCTATCACTGGAATCACAATACACTTCTTTGTCAAGAAACTTATTTCAATATATTAGGAATTGGTAGGGCCTATTTTGAAAATATCAGAAATCATCTGATAAACAATGGTCTCCTGCCAAGAATTCATGGTAATATTAAAAGAATGCCTCAATGGAAAACTAAAATGGTGATTGATAAAAATGTTGCTGAAGTAGTAAAGAATTTTCTGGAAAATTATGCAGAAGTTCATGAATTACCA